CAGCTGACACCCTCACAGCTGGCACCCTCACAGCTGGTGCAGTGACACCCTCACAGCTGACACCCTCACAGCTGGTGCAGTGACACCCTCACAGCTGACACCCTCACAGCTGGTGCAGTGACACCCTCACAGCTAGTGCAGTGACACCCTCACAGCTGACACCCTCACAGCTGGTGCAGTGACATCCTCACAGCTAGTGCAGTGACACCCTCACAGCTGGTGCAGTGACACCCTCACAGCCTCCTGCATAACTGCAACTACAGGCACACGTAACCAGTCCTGGCTAATTTTTTTTTTTTTGGTAGGGGTGGGGTCTTGCTGTGATGCCCAGGCTGGTCTAGAGTTCCTGGCCTCAAGAGATCCTCCACCTTGGCTTCCCAAAGCACTAGGATTACAGGTGTGAGCCACTAATCCTAACCCAAGTGCTCCTTTTAAGTTAAATTAACTCATTTTGTGACTTTTTTTTCAGTAAACGCCTTCAATGAGCACCTCCAATCCCACAACAGATACCTCAGCCGACTGTTGATCCCTGCACAGCAGGCCTGCCAGAGCCCCCCAGACCCCTGGTTTTCACTGCGTTCAGCCCCAATCTGGCCCCGTGACCAACCTCAGCTTCCCAGCCCTCCATTTCCCTGAGCAACTATTGCCTGGAAAGAATCCTTGTACCAATCTCTGTATCCGCCAGGAGCATTCGTTATTTAAAATGGAATGCGGTTACTAGAAACGTAAGCAAAAAAATAAACGTATTTATTGGTTAGCTCTCAGAATCCACAGAAAGGATGGAGAACCCAGGCTCAGAATTCCACAGGAGCAGAACAGTCAGAATCACACCAGCAACCGGCTCGGTAAACACACAGAAGCTGCCAGCAGGGGGGCAGCAGAGGCCACAGCACGAGATCAACATCCCCAGGGACTGGAGCTCAGAAGCCCCCACAGCTACTGCAGCCCCACTGCTTCCCGGAGCTGGCGGTCGCAGCCCCTGCCGAGACCACCAGAAAGCATCGTCCACTGTGCCCGCCTCTTTGTTTCCCTGACACTTGACCCCATGTCCAAGGCGGTAGCTTCGCCTTGCTGAGCATAAACGCCGCGCACACCTGCTCCTTCTCTTGCCAGGGAGGCTGCAAAAGGAGGATGCGCTATTTCTGCTTCCATCATGGAAGGCTGGGAATCCACAGGCACAGAAAGGAAGGAGGGAGAGATGTGGATGTGGACGTCCTCCAGTCAGCTCTGGCAGGGTCGGATGTGGGCGAGTGAGGGTCCCACCCCAGCTGAGGTCTACCCAGGTCCACGTCCTGGACATGTTGAGGGTTTTTGTAGAAGGCATGGATGAAGGCTGGTCTGACAACACTCAAGTCCCCGTACTGACCCCAGAGGGTGTCAGACTGGAAGGGCGACACATCCCAGGCATCTGCCACCCGTCACACACACCTCCCACCCACTGGCAGCCTTCCGTCCCAAGCACACACAAAGCCTCAGTCCAGAGCTCAACTGTCTCAGCTCTGCAGTTGTATGTCCTGTGTGTAGACTCACTGAGCACAACCTCTGCCCAGCCTGGCGTGTGCATACTTCTTTCTCACTGTCAGGGGAGGAGCCCGTCCTGGCACTCCCATTGGCTTGTAGATTCACCTCCCCTGGGCAGAGCCCCAGGACCCAGGATAATCCTGTGCCCCCACTCAGGCACAATGGTAAAAACGGTGCCTATCCTGCTGTCTCTGCCGCTCCTTCTGGGTCCTGCTGTCCCCCAGGGGACCCAAGATGGTGAGTGGGGAAAGCAAGGGATGGGTGCTGGAGAGGACTGGGAGGAGGTGAGGAACAGGACATGTGGCTGGGAGAAGGGCCGGATGCAGCTGGCATTCTCTGGCATCCAGCAGGAACAGGTGCCCCAGGCTGTCATCTCACTCAGCTCACACACTTCCAGGAGCATTCAGGGAGCCTCTGCCCTCACCCTAAATAAGACCTTCAGGAATCTGAACCTAAAACCCTTAGTTTACAGTGAAAACAAAGATTCCAAAGACCAAGTGACCTGCCTGGGGTCAGACAGCCAGGACGGAGCAGGAACCATACGCCTGGAGCTGCTTCTGCTCCGATGGCTGGGTACACCCGACTGATGCTGAGGGAAAGAGAGAGCAGCCCCAAGGGGAAAGTGGGAAGGCAGGTCAGCAGCAGGGATGGTGCTAGAAGGAAACCCGTGCCCTCACCCCACACTCAGACACAGGAGCAGTGGGTGTGGAAGGTGAGTAGCCTGAAGAGAAGACGGTGGGAGCTTGGGGAGATCAAGAGTCACTGTTAGGACAGGGCAGGAGGTTGTGTGTGGCATGGGAATGTGCAGGATGAATACATGGAAGCGAATGGCTTCTCAGCTGTGTGAGTCCAACATTCATGACATTTACACATTGTCGGAATAGCTGTTTCACGTTCGTTTTGTAATAACCACATTTAGGATGTGGTTAGGATGTTAGTCCCATTCTGCACCAGAATCTGAATTATTCGGGTTCTCCAGAGAAACAAACTAATATACGTTGTATACACACGCACATACAACATACACTGTATATTCATATATACACCGAATACATACGTGTGTGTACAAAAGGGAGAAGAAGAGGAGTTTTATCTAGCATTTCTTATGGCTCACACAGTTCTGAGGGCTAACAGTCCTAAATCAGCAAAGCAAGCCAGCAGGCTGGAGACCCAGGAAAGAGCTGATGTTGCAGGCCTGAGCCCAAGGGTAGTCTGGAGCAGAATTCTTTCTCCTTTGTGGGACCTCAGCCTTCCCTCTGAATGCCTTCCACTGATTGGATGAGGCCCACCCACGTGGGACTTGAGCCCAGACAGCTTGAGAGCTGCCAGAGTCTACACCAACAGCACCAACCAGTGCTGGGTCAACACCTCTTTTATCATCAGGATGAAGAGGCTGTGTCCCCCCGCCCTAAGGAGGTCCATTTCTGAGAGTTGTGGCTAATGGGCAGGAAGGTTGGGACTTTAGAGATTTGGGATAAAGATATCAACACCAGAAAGGAAGAAAGAAGTGATTGGCCGGGCAGGGTGGGTCACGCCTGTCATCCGAGGCAGGTGGATCACGAGGTCAGGAGTTCGAGACCAGCCTGACCAACATGGTGAAACCCCATCTCTACTAAAAATACAAAAATTAGCCAGGCTTGGTGGCTCATACCTGTAATCCCAGCTACTTGGAAGGCTGAGGCAGGAAAATCGCTTGAACCTGGGAAGCAGAGGTTGGGTGAGCAGAGATTGCTCCACTGCATTCCAGCCTGGGTTAGAGTAAGACTCCGTCTCAAAAAAGAGAGAGGGGAGAGGGGAGAGGAGGGGAGAGGAGGGGAGAGGGGAGAGGAGGGGAGAGGGGAAAGGAGGGGAGAGGGGAGAGGAGAGAGGAGAGAGAGAAAAAGAGAAAGAGAAAGTGGGGAATCTGGGGTCCACATGGCAGATGCGGCCCCTGGCTTGTACCTCGGTGTTTTCAGAATGAGAGCCTGGAGGTCCCCAGCCGGTCTCTTCAGCAGCAATACCGCTCTCGGCCACAAGAGGGAGATGTGTGCTCAGGAACGTCAGCTCCAAAGCCGGAAACCGCTGCACTGGCACCTGGCGTTGGCAGCTCCCACCCGGGTCACCCTTAGTCACTCCCAGCTTTATTGCTCACTGCTCAGTGTGCCTGTTGGAAACCCTGTTCATGAGGAAAAGCTGACAGAACTCACATGCTCACTCTTGCACCGTTCTGCCCGAAGTTGGCAAATCTTTGGCCAGCTCTGCCCTCGCGTTGCAGTCTCGGGCTTCACAGGTCATCGCCCCAGCCTCACATCCCTCACCAATTTCCCATCATTGCCCAGGACCCATAAGACCTGCCAGGCTCGGATGCCCTGGTCCAGCTTCCAGCCTCCTTCCCTGCCCCTGCCACCCCACACACTCTGTTTTGAGACAACAGTGGGCTTATGTCAGCTGTCATTGTGAGCACTCACTTCTGCCACCAGTGCACCTTCCTGCATGCTGCTTTTTTTTTTTTTTTTTTTTGAGACAGTCTTGCTTTGCTGCCCAGGCTGGAGTGCAATGGTGCAATCTCAGCTCACTGCAACCTCTGTCTCCCGGGTTCAAGCAATTCTCCTGCCTCAGCCTCCCGAGTAGCTGGGATTACAGGTGCAGGGTTTTAGTAGAGACAGGGCCTCACTGTGCTGCCCAAGCTGGTCTCGAACTCCTGAGCTCAGGCAGTCTGTCCACCTTGGCCTCCCAAAGTGCCACAGTTACAAGCATTAGCCACCACGCCTGGCCTCCTTTATTATTATGATTATTTTTGAGACAGAGTCTCACTCTGTTGCCCAGGCTGGTGTGCAATGGCATGACCTCGGCTCACTGCAACCTCTGCCTCCCAGGTCCTGGTTCAAGCAATTCTCCTGCCTCAGCCTCCCAAGTAGCTGGGACTACAGGCATGCACCACCATGCCTGGCTAATTTTTGTATTTTTAGTAGAGAAGAGTTTTAGCAGAGACAGGGTTTCACCATGTTGACCAGGCTGGTTTCGAATTCCTGACCTCAGGTGATCTGCCTGCCTCGGCACCCCGAAGTGCTGGGATTACGGGTGTGAGCCACCAGGCCCAGCCTGATTTATTTTTTTATTTTTAGTAGAGATGGGGTCTCGTTATGTTGCCCAGGCTTGTCTTGAAATCCTGGCCCCAAGTGATTCCCCTCCCCAGCCCCACCTCAGCCTCCCAAAGTGCTGGGATTACAGCTTCGAGCCACTGTGCCTGGCCCAAAATCACTTTCTAAATTTCCCCCTTTCATCATATTTTCCTGTTGTGAATGTTTTGTCATGCGTACCCTGAGGCCCCCCGACAGCTCTCCTCCAGCCCCTGTGCTGCCTCCCGTGTTATATGTGATCGGAGCACCGCCAGAGCTTCGTCATCTGTGACGAGCACCCGCCCTCTCTCCAGTCAGAATCATCGGCTGATGAATAAGAGCTGATTTCCTCTCAAATGATCACAACCCCCAATTCATTACCTTCCAAAGACTGAGCTCAGAATGGCTTATCTGACGCTTGGTGCGGCTGTGCTTTTCTGGGACGCCATTCACTGAGGACGCAGCTTCTCTCCCGTGTGATGTTCTCGGGCGCAAGTTGTGACGTGGGTTCCACGCTCCCCTGTGATTTTCGCATCTCCCATAACTGCTCGCCTCCATCTGAGGATTTTCCTCCGCCGGCGCCATTCATCGGGAGTCTCTCTAGTATGAATTATGAGATGAATGGAGATTTTCCCTCATTCATCATATTCAAAGCTTTCCTCTGCCCTGTGAATTCGTTGATATTCTACTAGAATCCTGACCAAATGTTTTGCCATGTGTATCATACCAGTAGAGTTTAGGCGTAGAGTCTGCAATTTCCCCAAAGTGGTACCTTTTTTTTTTTTAAGAGATGGGGTCTTGCTGTGTTGCCCAGGCTGGAATGCAGTGGGATGATTATAGCTCACTGCAGCCTTGACCTCCTGGGCTCAAGTGATCCTCCCATCTCAGCTTTCTGGGTTGAGTAGCTGGGACTACAGGCACACACTACCATACCTGGCTAATTTTTTTTTTTTTTTTGGAGACGGAGTCTTACTCTGTCACCCAGGTTGGAGTGCCATGGTGCAATCTCGGCTCACTACAACCTCTGCCTCCAGGGTTCAAGCGATTCTCCTGCCTCAGCCTCCTGAGCAGCTGGGACTACAGGTGCATGCCACCATACCTGGCTTTTTTTTTTTTTGTATTTTTAGTAGAAATGGGGTTTCACCATGTTGGCCAGGATGGTCTCAATCTCTTGATCTCGTGATCTGCCCACCTCAGCCTCCCAAAGTGCTGGGATTACAGGCATGAGCCACCATGCCCGGCCAAGTCCAGAGTTTTACATAGCCTTGGAGCTTTCTTCTAACTTTAAAAGCTACTGGCTGGGCACAGCTTTGGGAATCCCAGCATTTTGGGAGGCCGAGGTAGTTGGATCACCTGAGGTCAGGAGTTCGAGACCAGCCTGGCCAACATGGTGAAACCTTGTCTCAACTAAAAATACAAAAATTAGCCAGGCATGGTGGTGCACATCTGCAATCCCAGCTACTTGTGAGGCTGAGGCAGGAGAATCACTTGAAGCTGGGAAGTAGAGTTTGCAGTGAACCAAGATTGTGGTGACAGAAGGAGACTCCATCTCAAAAAAGAAAAAAGAAATTAAAAAAACTAGGAAGTAAAATATGTTCTTGGTAATTTGGTATAAATGGTAAGAACTAGTCCTTACTGCTGGGACTGCCTGTGAGAACTGCATTTCCTAGAAAGCCAAGTCTTCTAGATGCTGCTGAATTTTGACTTGGCAAATGGGTCGGCAGGTCGCCGAGCATTCAGGAGTGAGGGAAAGGGAGTGCCCTGGCCAGCTGCCTCTCCATCTGCTTACCAGAGGCCATGTATTTACCCAGTTCCCTCCAGGCCACAGGAAACAGCCAGTTGCTGGCAGCATCGCTCCAGTCCTGGAATTGTAAGGCTGGCAAACCTTGTCCGGTGAGCCTCCAGAATACCCTCGGCCGGGCGCAGGGGCTCACGCCTGTAATCCCCGCACTTTGGGAGGCCGAGGTGGGCAGATCGTTTGAGCCCAGGAGTTCCAGACCAGCCTGGGCAACATGGTGAAACCCAATCTCTACTAAAAATACAAAAATTAGCCAGGCATGGCGATGCATGCCTGTAATTCCAGCTACTCGGGACACTGAGACAGGAGAATTACTTGAACCCAGGAGGCAGAGGTTGCATTGAGCCGAGATTGTGCCATTGCACTCCAGCCTGGGCGAGAGAGCAAGACTCAGTCTCAAAAAAAAAAAAAAAAAAAAAAAGAATGCCCTCTCTAACCCCTCCTCTGATGATGATCCCTGGCCAAATTGGGTAAGAAATTATGGGCCGGGTGTAGTGGCTCATGCCTGTAATCCCAGCACTTCAGGAGGCCGAGGCAGGCAGGTCACCTGAGGTCAGATCAGCCTGGCCAACGCGGCAAAACCCTGTCTCTACTAAAAATACATAAATTAGCCGGACGAGGTAGCACGTGCCTGTAGTCCCAGCTACTCAGGAGGCTGAGGCAGGAGAATTGCTTGAACCTGGTTGGTGGATGTTGCAGTGAGCTGAGATCGTGCCACTGTGCTGCAACAGAGCGAGGGTCTATCTCAAAAACAAAAAGAAAGAAAAGAAATAGTCCTGCCCCCACAGCCCCTTCTGCAGCCTGTCAACGCCACAAAAAGTTTCCCAAGATTCCAAGTCCAATAGGCAAGGAACACTTCCAATCCCTATTAAAGCCATGTTCATGAGCAAACTCAAGCTTTCCACCCGCAGCCACTGGAATTTCTGCTGTGGGGATTAGGGGATAATCTTGAGCCATGGAAGCCTTGAGGCCTCTGGGACTCAAGAATGTGATGATGCTCTCAATTTCATGAGTCTTGTATTCCGGTTTATTTCTGCTCCACTGTGCTGGGGCTTCTCTCCTCCCAGCATCTATGGGGCTGAAATGGCTTTTGCAGTTACTTGACTGGTGCCTCATGTCCTTCCACGGGGTCTCTCCCCCCGACAGAGCAGCCTTGTCTTCTCACACAGTTACTGGGCGCCTCCATGCACAGTGGCTCACACCTGTGACCCCAGCACTTTGGGAGGCTGAGGCAGACGGATGACCTGAGGTCAGGAGTTCAAGACCAGCCTGGCCAATATGTTGAAGCCCCGTCTCTACTAAAAATACAAAATTAGCCAGGCATAGCGGGGGTGGTTGTTGGGCTCTGAGAACCTTCTAGGGATGTTCTCCGCCACTGCGCCATCCATCATCTGTGCTACCCCCGGCCCCTCCATGGAAACCGCTACCCAGGCAGCTGTGTCATGCCGTGTGACCCTGCCTCTCTGCCACCCTCAGCCCCCAGATATACAGTTCACTGGACCAGAATCCCATATAGGCTGACCAACAAGTTTTGGTGTCATCTGGCTCAAAAATGTAGGGAAAGCTAGCCAGGCCAATGAGATGGCCTCTTTTGGAAACTGGAGCCGAAAAACCAGACAGTAGAGGCCAGGCATGGTGTCTCACGCCTGTAATCCCAGTACTTTGGGAGGCCAAGGCAGGTGGATCACCTGAGGTCGGGAGTTCGAGACCAGTCTGACCAACATGGAGAAACCTTGTGTCTACTAAAAATACAAAATAAGCCGGGTGTGTTTGGTGCATGCCTATAATCCCCTCCGGGAGACTGAGGCAGGAGAATCTCTTGAACTCGGGAGGTGGAGGTTGTGATGAGCTGAGATCGCGCCATTGCCCTCCAGCCTGGGCGACAGAGCAAAACTCTGTCTCAAAAAAAAAAAAAAAAAAAAAAATCCAGACAGTAGAATCAGTGAGCCACAAAAGATCTCCTGAGGTCAAGTAGGGCCTGCTGGGACCAGCGCACTGGCCAAAATGGCACTGAAGAGGAAGCTTGGTGATGGGAGCAAACTCAAAAGAAGCCATGCCATGGCGAAAAGACCCTCGTCGTGGAGGGAGAGTGAGCTTGGTTTCGGCAAGAAGATAAAGGTGGAGAGGCGAGCACAGAGCTGGGACTCCACGAAGGGCCGAGAGAAGCCAGCCCAGGGCTGCCGCCTGCCAGTGGGTCATTGCGGCCAGATTGTCACTCGTCCTCTTGGCTGTCAGTTGGGTTAGAAGTGGGTGGGTGACTTAGCTGTGCTGGTAAAACATATGGGGACGTGGCTGGGACCATCGTGAGGTCATGAGGCAACAAGGCCAAGGGGAGCAAGACCATCCTCTGCCTGAGGATGGCAGAGCCTTCGTCCTCCGTGACAGCATTGAGCTGCCATCCTATCCTGGAAGCCCCCCTTCCAGTCTTACTGATCTGGAAGTCACATGTCTTTATTTTCTAGGCAGATTTCTGCTACTTGTAGCCTAAAGCATTCCTCATGCCTTCGCAGAACCCCGTGGCACTTGCTATAACTCCCACTGGAAAATCAACCTAAGTTTAGACATTAGAAATTGAATGATTGGTCAGTTGCTCATATGGAGGGAATGACAATCAGGACTGGTCCTAGGGGAATCCCAGCTCTGAGTCCTAACCTCAAGGCCTAGGCGACCCAGACAAGGAAAGAGGTATTCAGGAAAGTTCCGGACATCTTCTAAAACAAGACTCAATGATGAAATACAACAATCCAGTGGGGCTTTATTCATTTTATTTTATTTTATTTTATTTTTGGCCAGAGTCTCTCTCTGCTGCCCAGGCTGGAGTGCAATGGCATGATCTTGGCTCACTGCAACCTCCATGTCCCGGGTTCAAGTGATTCTCCTGCCTCAGCCTCCCAAGTAGCTGGGATTACAGGCATGTGCCACCATGCCCAGCTAATTTTTGTATTTTTAGTAGAGACGGGGTTTCTCCATGTTGACCAGGAGGGTCTCGATCTCTTGACCTCGTGATCCACCTGCCTCGGCCTCCCAAGTGCTGGGATTACAGGCGTGAGCCCCCGCGTCTGGCCTGTATGATGTTTTGGAGGGCAAAGCCAGTGCGCCACTGATGTTTGCTGTTGCTTCATTCACTCAACAGAAACGTAAGGAATGAAAGCTTTGGGGTTAACGAAGCAAAAAAGTTTAAATCCCTGCTTTAATGGGATTAATGCGATTAATGTTCATCTTAATAAACCCGGAAGTCCTCAGCAAGTTTCCCTGTACATCACTGCAGATTCTCTGAAATCCAAGAAGGAAAAAAACTGGAAGACTTTTTCCCCTTCTTCGTCATCAAGGTTTTTCTCCGGGATGAATTAGCCTGATTAGCGCCTGCAAGTTCTCCCACGATCTGTCCAAGCTCATTTCTCTTTTTGTGTGAATTCTCCAATGATGAGAAAGCTAAGCTTGTCCCCAAGTGATTTTCCACCCTAATTATACTCCTAAGGCTTCTCTCCAGTGCCAATGATCTCACATTCGGTATTTTCCACGCTTCCCCGAGTTTTCCGTCTTCATTACGTATGACCATTTTAAGTCCCAACTGAATTAGCTGATATTGTCTAAGTATGGAACTCTGATTGCAGGTCCTTCCTCATCCATCAAACTCACAAGGCCCCGCTCTGCTACAAAATCCCAGATGTCTAATTAGCTCTGGGCACCACTCAAAGCATTTTTACATCCCTTACGCACACACGATTTTCCTCCATTGTGAGTTCTCTGATGTTGAATGAGCTGTCCTTTCCCGAAAGCTCTCTCAGG